GAGAGGATGAGGTGAGTGGATTGCCTGAGCCCACGGGTTCGAGACCCGCCAGGGCAACTTGGCGAGACCTCATCTCTACAATAAATCAAAAAACTAGCCGGGCGTGTAGCGCGTGCCTGTAGTTCCGGCTACTCGGACGGCTGAGGCGGAAGTATCGCCGGAGCCCAGCAGGTCGAGGCTGCAGTGGCCGGGAGCGGCCACTGTACTCCAGTGTGGGCGACAGGGTGAGACTCCAACTCAAAAAAAAAAAAACAAAAAAACTTACATCAACTATATGGATGACATTCTGCAGAGTCCTAAGTAGTCATTGCCCTGCTAGCTGCTTATCCTCCATGACTCCTGTCCTCTCATGAGCTATTCGTTTTAACAGTATGGGGTATTTGGTTTCTGTAACAACTGTTTGGTGAAACACATGTTTTGTATGATTGTGATTTTTTAAGTTTTGGTATGTGTAGGCGGTTGGGGGGATATGTTTTAACATGCTATTTTAAGCTTCTATGAATTTGGGTATTTTTTTTAAATGTTGTTACAGAACCTTTTTAATTTAAGAAACATGTCCAAGAAATCGCTTGAAGGGCTTGGTAGAGTGGAGATTGCTGGTCCCAGCCCTGGATTGTTTGATTCAGTAGGTCTAGATTAGAACCGAAGACAGTATGAGTTTTTACTGATGTTGCTGGTCCGGTGACAACATTTTTAGAACCATGTCTGTAGCTCATAGTCTCTTTTTCAGGTAGAATAAACACACTTGTTTTTTGCTTGCTTGTTTTGCTAGAAATACATTCCCCTCTTTCTTTTTTTTTGAGTTGGAGTCTCACTCTGTCGCCCAGACTGGAGTGCAGTGGCCGCTCCCGGCCACCGCAGCCTTGACCTGCTGGGCTCCAGCGATCCTTCCGCCTCAGCCATCCAAGTAGCCGGAATTACAGGCATGCGCTACCACGCCTGGCTGAGTTTTTGATTTATTGTAGAGATGAAGTCTCGCTGCCCAGGCGGGTGTCGAACCCGTGGGCTCAGGCAATCCACTCACCTCAGCCTCCCAAAGGCGCGGGATTACAGGCTGAGCCACTGAGCCCGGGTCCCCTCTTTCTTTAGATAGAATTTTTTTTCTTCTAGTCTGATAAAAACATTAGTATTTACTCCTTTAAGAAAATTTCCCAGCCGAGCACAGTGGCTCATGCCTATAGTCCCATCACTTTGGGAGACTGAGGTGAGAGGATTGCCTGAGCCCCTGGGTTTGAGACGAGCCTGGGCAACTTGGTGAGACCTCATCTCTACAATAAATCCAAAAATTAGCCGGGCGTGGTGGTGCATGCTTGTGGTTCCAGCTACTTGGAAGGCTGAGGTGGAAGGATTGCCTGAGCCCAGCAGGTCGAGACTGCGGTGGCTGGAAGGATGCCACTGCCCTCCAGCCTAGGTGACAGAGTGAGACTCCAACTCAAAAAAGAAAATAAATGAAAATTTCCTAAGTAGTCTCATCACCATATCTACTCTCCATTCCTATCATACAAATCAGTTTATGGAGTTGACATGCAGGCAATCCTCACTTTACACAGTTCTGATGAGCACACATTTTCATTACAGCAATGTGTTAATGATGGGTAGTTGCATAAAGTATAAACTTCACTCCTGGTTTTTCCATCCACAAATCACTCCTAAATAGCAAAAGTGCATCACGGTCCACAGCCAGTTGTGCCACTCCTCTCAGTCTGTCCATGATTGGTTGCTGTGCACCTGGTGTGGAGTTAATGCACAGAAGCAAAGTGTGCAGGTGTGTTGCCTCCTTGTCTCCCAGGGATGAACTCACGTGGCATTTTATCAAAGTGGAAAATCAATAGAGGGAATTGGCCAACAAATATTAAAGCAGAGAAACAAAAAGTGATACTGCTTAAAGTGAATGTACATCGAACATAGATGGAATCACAGAGGAAATAGCAGACAGCGGGAAGGTTGGCACTGGTGCTGTTCAAGAGACTCTAGCTTTGCTGCCAGACGAACTTAGTGAAGGCAAACTTAATTGACATAAATGAGGAGAGTGGTTGTGACTTACAGGATGAAGATGTGACACTGGCATAAGATTTTATGTTAAAAGAACTCCTGAAGATGTCCCATGATGTTAAAAGCACAAAAAGGATACAACGTTGGAAGCTGACCTCACTTAGAAAAGAGTATGGCAGGGCATAGAGAAGATGCTTCTTCCCTGTGGTCACTGGTACAGGAAGGCAGCAAGCATGTTCAGACTGCTCTTGGTTTGTTTTTTATTTAAAAAAATTTTTTAAAGCACTTAAATTCTCACTGTTTTTAATATTTTGAATTGCAGTATACTAAATAAATATTTTACCATTTTTTCCATTTCTCTGTACATTTATGGAGAATATATAATGTTTTACAAGCAGGGACTTCGAATGCACATATAAATGTATGCGCGCGCGCGCCTGTGTGTGTGTGTGTGTGTGTGTGTGTGTGTATGTATATAAAGGCTTTCTTTGTATTGCATTGAGTTTTTTTTGTCCTATATAAAGCAGTACTTTGCAGCCTGATACACAAGAAATATCTGTACAGCACACTGTAATGTTAGAAGAGTTTGCTCACGCTGAAGGGCGATGGCCAGGAAGCTTTTGCCTTTGCAAGCATTGCTTGGCTGTCCCAAGGACTAAGGAGATGAATATCTTAAGCACTTATGTCTGTATCTGAGGCCCACAGATTAGAAGTTTCCAATGTTAAGTTGTAAACTCCTTGAGGAGGTAGACCGTCACAGCACTTGGTATGATATTCTCTGTGTAATTATTTTTGACAGGCCATATTTGACATATACTATAATACATACTTTCTTACTGGGTTTCTTTAAAAAGGTAATAATTATTACTGAGTCTTCCCATGGCATATTTAGTAAGTGTCTAAAAATATTTTATTGTACTTAATATTCCCTTCCTATGGTTATTAAGCCATTAAAATGTGTCTTTGTTATTAGAAATGTCACTGCATAATGAATGGCATATATAATGTGTGCAGAGGTGAAACTAAAACTTGGTATAAGAAATAACAAGTAGGTGCGGGAACAAATGAATTTGTTGTTGTAGAAATAACAAGTAGCTGTGGGAACAAATGAATTTGTTGTTGTAGAGGGAAGACATCTGGTAAAAATGTTTCTAATTAAATTCTTCATATAAGCATAAAGCAAATGAAATGAAAGGGGCATAGATATTAGAAAATGAGGTATTAAATTATGGGCATCAGCTTTCCAGGTAGCATGTTTTGATAACTAATGTTGGAAGCTAAAAATAAAAATAAAAATGTTACTATTTTCAGCTTCAGTGAGTGTTACACTCTTATTGTGCTAATTGATATTTTTAACCATGATACAAAAACATGGCTTTGGGATGGACTTGATTATACAACATTTAACCCAGGACATTTCAGGGCTTTGGTGTTGTGTCACAACCTGTTTTAGAAAATGCACATTACTTTTTAAAAGAAAAGTATCATCTTAAGAATTTGCTTTTTTGTTTTTTGGAAATCTAGACTCATGTCATATTTGTAAGAAAGTAAGACTTGACTTTTCTTTTTAAACCATGGGAAAGATTCTTTTTAAATCTTATGGTGTGCTTTAATTAAAAAGTAATAAGCCAGATTTTTATAATCTGATTTGTATCTTAAGAACCAAGCGTGTTTTAGAGATGTATTTAGCAGGCCTAGACCATAAATTTGATTTTATCAACTTGTTTTGATAATTGGTACATAAAATTCTTTTTAAAAAGAAATGCCATAAAAGTGTAACTTTAACAGGAATTAGAAACAACAATATTTTAACAGTTGTTATTTATAAATTGTAGACTTTGAAATGATTTTATGTATATGGACATGTGTAAACTTTTCTACATTCAGCAAATATTTGAGAATGAATACATATTTTATAAGCTGAACTGTTATGTCATTTTACAAGATAGCTTAATAGACTTCATAAAATGTGTATTTCTCCTTCTTTGAGAATGTAAGATTCCTTAACAGTTATTAAAATTTTGTAAAAAGATAAAGGAGACTGGATAACTTGTTGGTTTTTTGTTTTCTAAATACTACAATTGCTTGTTCTATTTAAGTTTGATATTTTATTTTAGGGCATATTGATGCATTTACTTCAAAGCTTTTCCTGCTGGAAGAAATTGCCTCGGAAGAATTAAAAGAAAAGGTTTCAGCGCTCAAGTAAGAAAGTTTACTTTGTGGTGGGAGTTGAAAAACTTGTCAGTGTGATCACTGTTTTTTCTTTGCTTCTAAATATTGGTTAAGTTTAAATCATGTTTTCAAAATTTTTAATCCTTTGATACATTGAGGTCTCCCTATACCCAATTTGGTTTCTTTTTTAATTGATATATATTAGTTGTATGTATCTTTGGGGTACATTTGACATTTCGATACCTGTATACTATTCGTAGTGATCAAATCAGGGTAATTGCGATATCACCTCAAATGTTTAGCTTTGTGTTGGGAAAACTGTAGTTTTCTTCTAGTTATTTTGAAATATGCAATAAATTATTGTTAACTGTGATTCTCTGCTGCACTGTTGAATACTAGGATTTATTCTTTCTGCCCGTGTGTCTTTTTGTGCCCCTTAGCCAACTTCTCTTCCTTCCCTTCTCAACTTCTGCTAACTCTCATTTTGCTCTCTGATTTCATGAGATACATCAGACCGTAATGAATTTATTGTACTCAGGACTCTGAGTGCCTGAATGCAAAGGAAAATAACACAAGTATTATTTCATTTGCATCTCACAACTTCCTAGGAAATTGGTGGTGGTAGTATCATCTTCATTTTCTATACGAGGAAACTGGGACTTAGAGTGACATGCCCTAGAGCACACAACTGAGCTAGTGACAGCTTGGGTAGTTAATATGTTTGATTCCCACTTAGGATGAGAAATGGTCCAGACTTACACTAGCTGCATAGTTTCGGCTTTCAGGCTTGACAAGGCTTTTTAGGGGTCCCAGATTCAAATTTAAACTCTCTGCTTGTACTTAAATACGTCCACTTCTATTATAAGAATTACTTCTCTTGAGCAGTAATATTTTACATATGTGGATAGAAAAACTTGCCTATACCCTACTTACCATCTGTCTCACCTCTCCCAGTGAAAACTATTTTTAAAAAAATTAAAAATAAAGGGAATGATTTAGGTCTAGAAGGGATACTAAAGAAATTCTTAGAATAATATTTTATATTTCATTTTTCTTTAGCTATCCTGTCTCCCAATCAGTGGCTTCTCTGTTATCACACATTTAAAGTACTTGTTAATTTCTTTGGAAGCTAATTCACTACCATCTCTAAAAGGCAAAGTCTTCTGCAGGTTAGTTCTACTAAAGACTTCAGAACATTGTTAAAGTATGTAGTCTGAACATACAATAGTGATTTCTTTACAACTGCTCTGACTCATACTAAGCCAAATACTTTATAATAATGAAAGGATGGCTGGGCTCAGTGGCTCAGCCTGTAATCCCAGCACTTTGGGAGGCCTAGGTAGGTGGATTGCCTGAGCCCATGGGTTCGAGACCCGGGCAACTTGGTGAGACCTCGTCTCTACAATAAATCAAAAATTAGCCGGCCATAGTAGTGCACACCTGTAGTTCCAGCTACTTGGAAGGCTGAGGCGGAAGGATCGCTGGAGCCCAGCAAGTCAAGGCTGCGGTGGGCCGGAAGTGTGCCACTGCACTCTAGTCTGAGCGACAGAATGAGACTCCAACTCAAAAATAAATAAATAAATAAATAATGAAAGGAACTCAGGTAATGACAAAAATTAAATAAATACTATAATCCAAATAGAAATAAGTTTCAGTAGTTTCTGTTTTACATTATCTCATCTGTGATTTTCTTTTGTTATTGAAGGCATTTCTCTTCCTAAGGAACTGTACTTGTTAAGAGTAAGTTTGTTGTGTTTTAATTTTACATGAATTTCTTCTGTTTAATAGGATTTCAAGTTTGTTTAACATCCTCCAACATATTCTAAAGAAATTAAGTAGGTAAGTATTGTTTGGACATTTTTTATTGATATATCTGATTTTCTTAGATAAAAATTCTTAGACTTTGAAAATATGCTGTTAGCAATAGAAAATAACCTAGAAATGCAAAAATTATTCTGTTATGTCAAATGTTAAAAAATGTGTTGTTAGAATAGAAATTTTAAAATGGCATGATAGTATCTGGTTTGAATGAGTTTGCAATTACAGTTTTAAGGCTATTATATTTGTTTCCTATTGTCACTATAACAAATTATCACTAACTTAGTGGCTTAAAACAACACACGTTTATTTTCTTTATACTTCTGAAGGTCAGAAATCCAAATTTCGTTTCAGTGGGTTAAAGTCAAGATGGCAGCCATGCTGGTTCCTTCTGGAGACTGAGAGAATCATTTCCTTGCTGTTTTTGGTTTCTAGTGACCATCTATATTCCTTGACTTATGGCCCTTCCTCCGTCTTCAAAGCACGTTATTCAGATCTCTGTGTCCATGTCACACTGCCTTCTTCCCTCTTACAGCATATCTTAAGTATTTTATAGTAGAGCATAGGAATATCTTCTCTGCCTCCCCTTTTTAAGGACCTGTGTGATTACAATGGGCCTACCTATGTTATTTAGAATAATCTCATCTCATAATCCTTAACTTAATCACATCTGTAAAACCATTACATGTAACATATTCACAGGTTGTGGAGATTAGGATATGGACATCATGGGGGATCATTATTGAATCTACTGTAGCTGTATTGTTTTCATTTTCAGGATAAAAAAACACCGTAAAGCTAGTGATCAAAAGTTGTTAGATCCATGGCATATTTAGAATTTGGATTGTTCTCCTGATCATTTTTCAAACTGTTTTGTTATGTGAACTTTTGCCTTCCTTCTGTTATGCATTTACCAAAGATAAACATGAAAACAATTTAAGAGTCTGAACTCAGTCAAAATTTCAAAGTTCTGAGTCTGACCTTCCACTTACCTTGTTATGCAACCAGATGTCAGCTTTTTAACTTGTGAAATGATGGTGTCAGGTGCCATAATTTCCTAGGTATTTTTCAGTTCTGAGATTCTGTGATTCTATTATAACATTTTTATTTTTTATATTGTTTTTCACGTGAAGTACAATGCTTATGCTTGAACTTTTACAGACGAGATGCTTTTTGAAATTTTATTATTAATACTTTATTAAATTTGTGTGTTCCTATTGCAGCTATAGCAATTTACTTCAGATTAGTGTTATAACACTAATTTATCTTGCAATTCTATAAGTCAGAGGCCTAATAGGGCTCACTGGATTAAAATCAAGGCATCATTAGAACTGCATTCTTTTCTGTAGACTTTGGGAAGCATCTGTTTCCTTGCCTTTTGTAGCTTTTAGAGGCTACCTGTATTCCTTAGCTTGTAGCTCTCTTCCTCCATCCTCCAAGTTACAAAGGCAAGCTGAGTCTCAGCTCTGACTACCCTGACCTCTTCGAGAGGCATTCCACAGGCACATCTCCTTCTGAAGCTCTTACCTCTCACTTGCATGTTTAAGGGCTCTTGTGATTGCATAACCAGGAAAATCTGACCATTTTAAATTCAGCTGATTAGCACCTTTAATTCCATCTGCTGTGTGGATTCCCCTTGGCCATGTGATGTAGCATATTCCCAGGTTCCAAGGTCTGGAACATAAACACTTTTAGGAGGGCTTTATTCTGCCTACCATCGTTTTTATCCATTGTACATTGCACTTGTGGCACACTTGTAAGATACTCCCTCATAGAGTGCCTCTCATTCTTTATGAATTAAATAGTTTCTCTATAAACCAAAATTGTCTTCATTTTTAGTGGAAGTAGTTAAGATATATGATTTTATTGATATAAGCTCAATCTTTGAAATTTTATTTATCCCTTCTACCAAAATCAAGTATCAGTTTTTTCATATGGAAGTAGAAGTGATTGGGGAAAAAAATTTAGAGGATGAGAATAAACCTCTGGACTTTTTTTGCCAATACCTATTACTTTTTAGTGTAAAAGATTAATGAAAACGTAACTTATTAGATTCGTAGGCAGATCTGTATAGCTAAAGAATCTTTTTTTTTTTTTAGTTGGAGTCTCACTCTGTCGCCCAGTCTGGAGTGCAGTGGCACACTCCCGGCCACCGCAGCCTCGACCCGCTGGGCTCCGGCGATACTTCCGCCTCAGCCTTCCAAGTAACTGGAACTACAGGCGTGCACTACCACACCTGGCTAATTTTTTTTATTTATTGTAGAGATGAGGTCTTGCCAAGTTGCCGAGGCGGGTCACGAACCCACAGGCTCAGGCAGTTCACTCACCTTGGCCTTCCAAGGTGCGGGATTACAGGCTGAGCTACCGAGCCCAGCCCAAGAATCTTATTTTTTAATAATATGAGAAGCTGGGCATGGTGGCTCATATCTATGATACTGGCACTTTAAGAGGCTGGAAGATTACTTGGTTATAGGAGTTCAAGACCAGCCTAGGCTACATAGCGAGACCTCATCTCTACAAAAATTGTTTTTAAAAGTAGCCAGGTAGGGTCTCATGGGCCTGTAGTCTCAGCTACTTGGGCAACTGGGGCAAAAGGATTACCTGAGCCCAAGATGTTGAGGCTACAGTGAACCATGATCATTGCCACTGCACTCCAGCCTGGGCAACAGAGTGAAATAGCATCTCAAAAAATATATTTAAGTATACACACTCACACACAGAAATACACACATCAACATATATAATATTTTTCCTATATCTGTGTTAGGGAAAGCACTGATGTTTTCCTTAGCACCTTCGGGTCAGAGAAGTGTATAATCCGAAGAAAGTACAATCTATTAATCATATTCCTTTAGCTCTTTATGATGATACTTTGAATCCCATAAAGCTTTCTAAGGAGGAAGACAACTTGTGGATTTGATGTCTGACATCGCTGACTTTTGTGACAGTAGGGGACTGTGATAAGGGTGTGGCTTTGAAGTCTGCTTGCCTGGATTCATGTCTAAGCCCTACACTCAGAGCTTTGGGCAAATTGCTTAGCTCCTCTCATTTGTTTATCACCTTAAATTAATATCATTCTGTGAAGGTTTGTTGTGGATGATCTAATGAGAAAATTCATGTGAAGCAATAGGACAGTATTTGTATCTTTTTCACCTATTATTAGGTACAAAGGAGGTGCAGTATCGAATGAAGTACTTTTCAGTATAAGTATCTGTTCCCCATGGATTAGAGAATTAGACCCACTATTTGTTTCCCATTAAATGAAAACTTACAAATTGATGGGTCTAAAAGTAAAAAGAAAGTGATCAGATATTCTGAACATTGAGTTAACAATTAAAATGAGGTGTCTAAAAGGCATGAAAATCATGTAGAAGACTTCTAGTATGTCTTACTTTGTCATGAAAGTGTTTTTTAGGGGCAGTGTGCTATTCTCATAATTGTTTTCAATTTTGCTAATAGAACATGATAAAGAAAACACTGTTGAAATTGACACTGTGAGCCAATGGGTTGTTTCATTGTGTGGATTTAGCTTGCAGGAGGGTTCCTACTTGTTATCTCATGCAGCAGAAGATTCTTCACTCCTGATCTACAAGACCTCAGATGGAAAAGTCACCAGAACAGCATACAATCTGCATAAAACGCATGGTAGCCTTCCTGGCATACCTTCCAGTCTTTCAGTTCCCTGGGTCCCATTAGATCCCAGTCTCTTATTACCATATCATATCCATCACGGAAGAATACCTTGTACTTTTCCACCTAAATCACTGCATCCCACAGCACAACGAAAGGTAAGATTTTTGGGGAAATTAAATGTTCATTGGGTTGCTGCTTATTTATTTCAATAATACTGTATTTTGAGCTGTTGTCCACATTTGCCACATTAATCATAGCACCATTATAAAAACTATATGCGTAGGAAGTGTACTTAAAGTTGTATGTTCTCCGAGTTCAGTCTTTGTCAGCAGAACTTTTTGTTTTTGTATGGTTCATCAGTCAAATAAAATGCTGTTAGCTGGCGCGGTGGGTGCATGGGAAAGGCATCCACAAAGTTAAATCCCTATTCTCCTGTGAAAACCAAAGTTGAATTTTTTGGTAATTTCTATTTATATATACTGTGTTTCATTTTATTAGATATTTGAGGGAGTTTTCAAAAGAATACATATAATAAAATTATGATGTAATTAAAAATTGATAAGTAGAATATAAAGAATTAAATTGCAAGTATTAGTAATTAGTGAGCAGGGTGTCTTATAGAAAATACAACTACAGCATTAAGTGCTAAACTGTGTTTTGCTAAGTATTATATAACTTAGTATTGACTGAATTACCCAAATACTGTTCTCTTTATAGACCCCTTCCCAACAATACCACTTGAATGACATTTAAAGCCTTGGCTATAGATGTTCTCCACTATGTCCGTCATTCTTTACATCATGTGAGAAATTCCAGTTTGAGTTTAGTTATAGGAAAAGTTTTGCTCTCTGCAAACGAATCTAAATGTTGAGGAAACAAAAAAACAGATTTTCTAACCTGTCAAAAATCTTTTAGTCAAAATTGTCTGAGTTCTGGAATCGTCTCAGTGCTGTTGCTCCAGAGCTTCAACTCTTGTATCTCCTTTGGGTATTGTTCTTTTTTTCCTTTTTCTACTATGCTAAATTAATCTGTAAATGTTCTCAAGTTCTTTTGAAAAATATCTAAATGCTAAATACTGAGGATTTTTATAATTTACAGCGAGCAGTATTGTTTGCTTATTATGTTTTTCACTTCACATACAGTTGGGGAGTATCCTTTTAGAAATGAAAACTCCTTGCACATTCCTAGATAGCTTTGGCCAAGAAAGTATAAACGTAGTTAACTAGTTTGGACAAGTATAATAGTGGAGAAAGTTAGTTGTTAGCATTTTAAGCTATTTTATCTTCAGTTCTAGTTGGCTGTTTTCTGTTTAAATTAATATAGTAGCAATTTTTATAACCACCTATGGAAAAATGTTCTTAAGGGACTTAAAAATAATTAAAGAACTATTTCTGAAGGATCTGCATTTTTTTCTGAGAGAATGATTTCTTTTTAATTTAGAAACACTGATTATCATCTCTCACCTATAACATATCATTCTCTGTGGGGGGTGGCTTATTCTTTTTTTGTGAAAATGAACAATTTAATATCTTGACACTGAACAACTTTCAGTAAAGGAAAAATGTATTATGTTTGTACAAGGTGTTTCTAAAAAAAAATGAGTAATATTATGCTTTCTTTATTGATACAGCCTGACACTAAACATTGAGTGCTTTATGCTTTGGGAATACTTTAATGATTTGATTTTTAAAAATAATATCCAAAATGTGCTTTAGTATAATAAGAAAACAATTTATGATCAAGTGTCACTTAATGATGGGGATACTTTCTGAGAAATGTATCGTTAGGTGATTTTGTCTTTGTGCAAATTTACACAGACCTTCCTACTACATACCTAGGCTGTACAGATAGCCTGCTGCTCTTAGGCAGCAAACCCATACAGCATGCTAGTGTACTAAACACTGTAGCCATTGTAATACACTGGTAAGTATCTGTGTATCTAAACACAGACAGAGTACTGTGTTGCGCTAGGACATTCTAACAGCTGTGACATCATCAGGCATGGACATTCTTCAGCTCCACTGTAACCTTACAGGACACCTGTTGTGAGGGTGGTCCATTAATCATATCACTGTTACACAGCATATCAGTGTATCTGGAAAAGGAAAAATTCCATATTTTGGCGGTTTCGCCACGTAAATATTATGTCTAGCAGTTCAATAATCACTGAGCACTTGTTGATTTATATGTTTTAAGATGCTTTGTGCATTCAATCCAGGAACAAATAGCGAGTTTATCAAGGACCAGGTTGTCATACAGCCCAGCAGTAGACAATCAGATAAATAATACTTGACTTGATGTATTTTTAAAAGCCAACAAAAACTTTCTGGTAATCTCGCACTCACCTCCCCACAGTCTAGACCTCTGTTTGATAGGCATTACCCATTCTTCCCTTCTAGCCAAGTTGTGGAAATCAGAATTTCTAGTCCCAGCCAAGTCAAGCACAGTTGCAAATTCCAGCCTTAGCAGCAGTAGGTAAGATTGGGGCTTTCAGGAAGCCAGGGAAGTAAAACGTGCTTGAAACAAAGCATGTGCATATTTTCATGGTGTAAAAAACTCATAACAAATGTTTTTGCCTCTAATGTGATCCCATAACCCCATAGTTCCACTTGAACTCAGATTTCATCCTTGTGTCGTATCTTTGGCACAAACCCTGAGAGATTTCCCAGTAGAGCTTGCATCTGCCTCCTCCTGCATCGAGCAAAGGTCATATTGAAGGGTGTCATTTGCTTCCTGTGCTGCTTTTGACTTCCACTTCCAGTCTTTGCAGCAGCTGCGTCTTATCCCTTTTTTTCCTTCTACAACTTCTACAATACATATTCATTTTACGAATGCACACATAGCCGGGCTCAGTGGCTCAGCCTGTAATCCCGCGCCTTTGGGAGGCTGAGGTGAGTGGATTGCCTGAGCCCGCGGGTTCAAGACCCACCTGGGCAACTTGGTGAGATCTCATCTCTACAATAAATCAAAAATTAGCCAGTAGCGTGTGCCTGTAGTTTCAGCTACTTGGAAGGCTGAGGCGGAAGGATCGCGGGAGCCCAGCAGGTCGAGGCTGCGATGGCCGGGAGCGGCCACTGCACTCCAGTCTGGGCGACAGAGTGAGATTCTAACTCAAAAAAAAAATTAAATTAAAAAAAAAAGAGAGCCGGGCTTGGTGGCTCAGCCTGTAATCCCGCGCCTTTGGGAGGCTGAGGTGAGTGGATTGCCTGAGCCCGCAGGTTCGAGACCCGCCTGGGCAGCGAGACCTCATCTCTACAATAAATCAAAAAATCACCTGGGCGTGGTGGCGCATGCCTGTAATTCCGGCTCCTTGGAAGGCTGAGGCGGAAGGATCGCCGGAGCCCAGCAGGTCGAGGCTGCAGTGGCCGAGAGCGGCCACTGCACTCCAGCCTGGATGACAGAGTGAGACTCCAACTCAAAAAAAAAAAAAAAAAAAAGGAATACACACATATACACACCTGCAATGGAAATGTTCCAAAACGCTTGCTTTTCTCAAAAATGTTTATGCAGTTAGTGTGGTCAGTGTTCCTTTGTGGGAAATACTAGTTGAATAGGAGGGGTAATCGGGAATCTAAAATCACAGCACTTTTCTCATCAATGTGTTATAAAAGTTCATCGGCTTCAGACAAACTCGGACTCAAATCTCTACTCAAGTTTGTCCTTTCTTGTCAGATAATTGTAAGCCAAAAGATGCCCTTTAAAGGGTCAGTAAATATTATGTGATGGAAGCTGGAGTTCAAGCCATTCTTAACGAGCCAGTAGCCCTTTGAAGCAATTCCAGTACCATTTCTGTTGGACCAGAAATAGAGAGAGTGCTTAGAGTTACCATATCACCACCCACCGCTTTCAGACTGGGGCTCACTAGACAGGATATAAAGAAACAGAAAGTGCAAGGCAGGTAGGAGGAAAGGGGCAAAAATGGGCAAGTTCTGTGGAGACAGCTTTAGGCCACACAGCTTTGGTCATTATCTGCGAGACCCGACCTTCTCTGTTACCCTTTTTTAAAGCTTTATGCTCTCCCGTGGCCAAGCAGATGACAGCATTTCTAGATCTCATCTTTAAACGGGACTACAGTCAGCAAGGGCTTGTGTCCTAAGACGATACCATCTCCTTTCCCTAGTCTGTGAGCTAGAAAGTGAGGGCGAGGAAGGGTAGATGTGAAGGTAGAACCGGCACCTCAACAGTTTCTTCCTCCCAACTTCCTTCTTCCTTTGCCCGCCATCTGCATTCCCCTTCCAGTTTTTTCCTTCCTCTTTTCTTCTTTCTTTCTTGCTCTTTTCCTTCAGCTCTTTTCTCTTTTTTTCACATTTTTTTCTTCTTCCTTCTTGCACGTTTCTGTTTTCTTCCTAATTGTCTCTGTCCTCGTTTTCATTATCTTTCTTACTTTTCTTACTGTTTGTCTTTTTGTCCATGTGATTTCTTTTCCCTCTTTAGTGCCTATGACCTTCTTATATTTCCTTTCCCTTCCTCCATGCTTCTCATTTCTTCCTTTTTCTTGCCCTTTGGCTTAATTATTGCAAACACATTGCTCAAAAGGCTTGTCATCCCTCATTTTCTACGTTAACATTTCAACCTCCAGTTTAACACAGAAAGTAGTTTCCCGTTCACTTCTCTCCATCTACCCCGTTCTAACTCCATTTGAAAGTTTAGTACTTTGAAACTACATCAGATTAAAATTTGTTTGGAAACAGCCAGGCAGCTGGAGATTAAAAATATAAGGGATCATTTGCAAGGTGATTAGTACACAGGTAACAAATACAGAGTTGACTATATATGGGTATGTTGTAGATACGTTAAGCTATTCTGTTCTTTCCTTTATCTCTTAGGTTGGTGGAGCAAGAATGCTTACACGCAGCCACAGGAATCCAGTCTCCATGGAAACCAGAAGCAGTTGCTTGCCTGCTCAGCAAGTTGAAAATGAAGGAGTGGCTCCAAATAAAAGAAAAATAACTTAGGGGTTGTACTGTGGGAAATGAAATCTCGGAAAAGCCTGTTCATGGTAGTTTAATTCAGAAAAGTTTGAGGGGAAGGCAAGAGAAACGGTTTTTTTAATAGTATTCTCAAGAGTTCTTAGAGTGCCTTGAAAAAATATGTTGGCTGTGTAAAGGAATTTTTCAACTAAAATGGAATGTTATGTGCTTCACCCTTGAACTTTGAGGAGACTCTTGATATGTTTTAACATTATCATGGCAGGGAAATATATACATAAGAAAAATATTTTTACATTAGATCTTTTCTAAAAATTGTAAATAGATAGTTTGCTTTTTTTCAAAAATTACACATATTATGTATATGCAAATAATTTGAGTTATACTGTCAGTCTGTTAAGACTGATGCAAAAGGTTAAATATTGCCACTGTCAAAGGTAATTATGAGTATCACAAACCTTGTTTCTGGCCCATTTTAACAGGTTTTATATACAACATTAAAATGATGGTTGTTGCAGATTAGTAAAGTTAACACCTTTAAAAACTTGGTGAAATTCCATTGCAGAAGCCAAAAATAAAAATAAAAAATCTCCCTGCCTCTGAAGAAAAAAACAAATGTTATGGCATAGCATATGGTGACAGATACCTCATTCAAACTGAGTGTTGAAATATACTTCTGAAAGCAAAAAGATGAGTATGTTTTCCAGAAGAAATTTCATTGTTCCAACTGACAAGGTTAATGTGGTAAACCATAAGCTATTTTTTTCCATTGTCAATACTGATTTAATTTTCCAGGCCCACAGATGAATTTGGAAGAAGGCATAATCAGTTGATGTTACTATAGCAAATTTGAACTTAAGAAAGGACAGACTTGTTTAATTTTTAGAACCCAGTTATTTAATGTAACACTCAAATTTTCAGAAAATATGTGTCATTTGTAAAATACAAGTGTTATAATCCTAGGTAATATTTGCTTTGCTTTAAAGTTGTTTGTGTACTCTTGTTAATACAAGAAGTTAAGCCTGAAAATTTCCTCAAATATAAGTAACAGTTGAAAATATCTTCAACCACCAAATTTTGTTTTGCTTTAGTTATAAAATATTTTAAAAATTATTTAACAAGTAATTAGTAAAAATTGTTTTATATATCTTGATATATAATTTCTTCATCCTGCCATGCCCTTTTTATTATTATTTTATTTTATTTTTTTGAGTTGGAGTCTCACTTTGTTGCCCAGACTGGAGTGCAGTAACCACCCCTGGCCACTGCAGCCTCAACCTGCTGGGCTCTGGCGATCCTTCCGCCTCAGCCTTCCAAGTAGTTGGAACTACAGGCGTGCACTACCACGCCCAGCTAATTTTTTGATTTATTGTAGAGATGAGGTCTTGCCAAGTTGCCCAGGCGGGTCTCAAACCCGCAGGCTCAGGCAGTCCACTCACCTCGGGCTCCCAAAGTGTGGAATTACAGGCTGAGCCACCAAACTCGGCCTACCATGCCCTTTTTAAAAGCACTGAGCATTTTTTAAAAAGTAAAATACTTTATGTCACATATATTTGGTAGTGAGCCAAGGGAGAAGCAGGCATGCCCTTGGAATTTGCTCTTTTTAAAAGCTGCACAATAATTTCTTCAGACTTCTGCTTTCATTTTTTAGCATTACTTTTTACATAGTAAAATGTGTGAACTCGCAAGTGATTATTTTGAAATTATCTTAGCCATATATTTGAATAACCCTGATAATATATATAAAGCTAGTTTTTTGCTGGTACTTAACAAAGGCTCTTTTTTTTTTTTTTTGAGTTGGAGTCTCACTCTGTCGCCCAGGCTGGAGTGCAGTGTCACACTCATGGCCTCCCCAGCGTCGATCTCCTGGGCACCAGCGATCCTTCCGCCTCAGCCTTCCAAGTAGCCACACCTGGCTAATTTTTGATTTATTGTAGAGACAAGGTCTCACCAAGTTGTCTCAAACCCGTGGGCTCAAGCAATCCACTCGCCTCGGCCTCCCAAAGTGCTGGGATTACAGGCTGAGTCACTGAGCCCAACCAAAGCCTCTTTTTTAAAAAACATGTTTGATCATGTTCTTTTTTTAGATTTTTTTTTTTTTGAGTCATTGTCTATCGCTCAGGCTACAGTGCAGTGGCACACTCACAGCCACCACAGCCTCAACCTGTTGGTCTCAGGCGATCCTTCCACCTCAGCCTCCCAAGTAGCTGGAACCACACTCAGCTAGTTTTTTTGATTTATGGTAAAGATGAGGTCTCACAAAGTTGCTGAGGCTGATCTCAACGCCCTAGGCTCAGGCAGTCCTCTTACCTTGGCCTCCCAAGGTGACATACTAGGATTACAGGTGTGAGCCACCATAGCTGGCTTAGAATTAATAAGCAGAGGAGTGACATTAACAATACAAACAAAGATGTTTAAAAAACAATCAGACTCAGTGTTACAAGAATGTGATGAACCTGACCCACTTATACCTCAGCAGTGAAAGTATAATTTATGCACACCTCTTAGAAACAATTTAATGCAGTGAGTGTTTGAGGGCAACTGTGTGGCATGCAGTCTAAAGTCGGTCCCTACTGTTACTCTCCAGTAATGTGCTTTTTTTCAGATCTTACAATATTTACTTATTTGACTTACTCCCCTTTATTGAATAGACTACAAGGGCAGGGGATAGACTACACGTCTTGAATAGACTGCAAGGATGGGGCATATTTGTTTTGTTCACCATTAAATAGCAAACACCTGATAGAGTACCTGTCATGTAGTTGCTCAGTAGATGTAAGGTGGGTGCGTGAATAAGTGAATGTGCAGATATTGAGGATAGATTTAAAGTCATCCAACCAGATCCTGGTGGTTAAGGGAGGTTTTCTGAAATAAAGTATGAGCTGAGTCTTTTAAAAGTGAGTAAGGGTTATAAGGGAAAAATGAAAGCTCTTCCACAAAGAAAACAAGCAGCATATGAGAAGGTGAAAGATGGCCAGGCGTTAGGCTATGGACATGGACAGTGAGAGAGAAAAGTATAAGACAGGGACAGACGTCCCACGCTAAGGCATTTGAATTGTGTCCTGTGCAATGTGGGAACCAGTAGTGAAGGTTAATAAAATAAATAACAGGATCTATGTATATTTGAAAAAAGCTCTTGTTGGCATTAGTCCAGAGAACACACTAGGCTATAGGGAGGGAGAAAGTTGGAAGACTGTGTTGTTGTAATTGAAGAATAGTAATGGTTCTTTAGAGGGATCTAGGTTAGTGGGGGGAAAGAAATAATGGCCCAGAATTAAAGCAATAAGAGTAGGGTGGGCTCATTGATAGAGAAGAGAAAAAGTAGTTATGTGGTTGGTAGGGGAAATGAAGTATCGCTTCTGGGCTTCTCATTTGGGGTATTGGGTAAGTGATGGTGTTATTCATTGAGAACATAGGAGGAATGCGGTGAGAGTGAGAATAAAGTTCATTTTAAGTGTTCGTTTCCTTTAACCATTTCTACTTTTGGATTCTGGCTGTAAATGCTATATTGGTTATTTATAATCAATTCGCTGAATAATAGGTTACTCTAAAACTTAGCAACTTAAAACAAACATTTATTGTCTTACATTTTCTGTGAGTCAGGAGTCCAGGTATAACTCAGTTAGATCTCTCTGACTCAGTCAGGGTCCCTCATGAAATTGCAGTTAAGCTGTAGGCTAGGGTTGCAGTCATCCAACGTCTTGATTGGGACCAGAGCATCTGCTTCTAAGAAAGTTCAGTCACGGTGTTGGTGGGACCTGTTTCTCGCTGGTTGTTAGCAGGAAGCCTCAGGTCCTTACCACATGTACCTCTCCAGGGGTCTGCATGGGTGTCCTCACAGCATGGCACCTGGCTTATCAGAGCAAGCAGTCAGAGCAAGGAGGAAACCACAGTGTCTTGTATGACTTGGTCTGGGAAGTCAAACACTGTCACTTCTGCCATGTTTCTCCTTATTAGAAGGAAGTCACTCAGTCCATTCAAGCGGTACCTTTTGAAGGAAGTATGGAGAGAATTTGTGAGCATATTTTTAAATCTCCACATATGCCATATACAGGTTTAGGGGAGATTTTCTTTTTAACGTTTGTATTACCAGCATACTAACGGGCAGTTTGTAAAAATATTACGAAGATGTTTGCTATGCATTAGTGGTATTTGGTACCTTTTATTCAAGAGTTAAGGTATTTGATATCAAAATGTATTGAGTTTGTTGAAATATAGACATCAATGGAATAGGACCATGTGCAGTGGCTCACGCTGGTAATTTCAGCAGGCAGGAGGGTTGCCTGAGCCTGAGTTCAAGACCAACCTGGGCAACATAGCAAGACCTGTCTCTACAAAAAAAATTTTGTTTTAATTAGTCGGGTGTGGTGGTGTACTCCTGTCCTAGCTACTTGGGAAACTGAGGTGGGAGAATTGCTTGAGCGAGGAGTTGGAAGCTGCAGTGAGCTGTGATCATTTTACTGCCCTCTAGCCCAAATGATACAGCAAGACCCTGTCTCTATTTTGAAAATTAATAAGAAAAATAAAGGGGATGAAATTCAGTGATTCTTCCACTGTTGCCATGTTTCCTTGGCTAATGCCCAGCCTACTTGCTGAGGTATAAGACACAGTTACAAGGCATCTACCTGGGATTTGGCCCTGACCTGCCACCCAAAGCCTACTGAACAAGTTGAAACCCAAACCTGTGTTTCTGAGATAGTCCCCTAGATTATCTCATCAAACACAGAGATGCAAGCAGTCAGGGGTTCGCCTTGGCAGATGTGTTTGTTTTCAATACACGAGCCGTAACCTGCTTAATCCAGTCGGGGAGAAAACCTGAGTGTGAATTGATTCCTGTTTTGAAAGTGAAGAACCCTCAGGATTCTGTGATTAGTGGGTTGAATGTCTCCTTCCCTTTTCTTCAGAATTTGTTTCTTGTGGGGATGGGGAGAAGGAATATTTTCTCTGCTCCCGGCCCTAGGATTTGCTTATCTAGAGGAGAGTACATAAACGTTAGTCCTGAAGAGTCGCACACCAGAAGGGCAAAGCCACACCGATGCCATGTGTCTCCAGCCCCTTTCAAGCACTACATCGGTGCAACATCTGCCCCAGCCAGGCTTTGCCATTGAACAGTTTAACCATTCTTGTCCCTACCTGCATGCTTTTCCACACAAAGCTACTTCTGCTCAGAGTTGGGATTACCTGTCCAAACCTCTACTGAATCGGTGATACACTTTTGAGCATCTATTGGATATAATGCATTGTTCAGTCTAGGGATTTAAAGATAAATAAGATTGACTTCTACCTTATGGGTATGTTCTAATCTAGTTGTGGAGATAGTTAAGCACAATTAACTATAATAGGTGAGAATGTTCAAGTGTCACAATAGTGCAAAGGAGTAAGAAAATGGGATACTTGGAAATCAGAGAAAGACCTGGTAGAAATGACCTCTAGGCTGTGTTTGAAAAACAAGTAGCCGGGCACAGTGGCTCATACCTGTCTATAGTCCCAGCACTTTGAGAGGCAGGGGCAAGAGGATTGTCTGAGATCAGCCTGGGCAATTTGGCAAGAATTAGTCTCTACAATAAATCAAGAAAAATTAGCTGGGCGTGGTGGTGCTGGAACTTGTAGTTCCAGCTACTTGAGAGGCTAAGGTTGATGCTGTGGTGGCTGTGAGCATGCCACTGCACTCCATCCTGGGTGACAGAGTGAGACTCCGACAAAAAAATAAAAGAAAATTACTGATGCCAAGACGATTAGGGAAAATACAAGATGAACCTGGAATATCATAGTTCACGAAAAAGTAAACAAATGCTCAAGAAATGAGGGCAGGCATATCAAAAACAAGCAAACAAGAAAACCCACACACAAGAGCTAGCGTAAAGGAGTTTCCAGGTCTGGGAAATGTGAGCATCAAATGATGATAGTAACAGTTTGTAATCCCCTGAGCAAAATGGGAATCCACAAACCCATACTGACATAAATGGATAAACAAATGGATGAAGGAAACATTCTGTTCTACAATAGAATGCCAACCAAAAAATGGAATGGAATGATGGAGCCAGAAAAATTCACCATCTTGC